GATCTACAGCTCACAACCACCATATAGTTGCTGTCAATTATGGAGGAATATTTACAGCGGTATCTTTGGCTACTGTGATGATATTTTCCAATTGTGTATCAGTCAACATTTATTGATTATTTCCTTTTATTCACATGTAMYCTTATGTAATTACTTTCMTTTCATTYATGTAAACATTTTCTATATAAGTSAATACATAACATCATGCTCAWGATYAACTTTGATTGAGCAATTACAAATCATTTCTCGACCTTCCAAATTCTTCTCTTGGTATCAGAGCYACAAGGCTCACGCCRCCATGGACACCGAAGGTTCTTCCTCCTCAAATCTCAATACCCTAAATGCAATGCCAATAGCCACTGCAATTAACAACACCATATCATCAAATCCCTTTGGCAACCCACTTAGTACAGTATTGGCAGTCAAGTTGGATGAAAAGAATTATCTTCTCTGGAAATCCATGATTACTGCTGCTCTTCRTGGACARAAGCTTGATGGCTACGTTATGGGAACAATTGCTCAACCTCCAGAAATGATTCAAGGTACCGGTGCAAATGCCACCACACTCATTKCAAATCCTGCGTTTGATTCATGGTCTACCACAGATCAATCGCTCCTAGCCTGGTTGTATGGATCCATRACGCCATMTRTKGCTTGTGACATCYTCAATCTACGCACATCTAGAGATGTATGGAAAGCACTAGAAGATCTCTATGGAGCAACAAACAAGGCCCGAATCACCCAACTGAAAAGAAACCTTCAAATGACGAGGAAAAATCAGTTGAAAATGAGCDAATATCTTTCAACAATGAAGCAACTCGCTCACAGTCTTGCTCTAGCAGGCGAACCGGTAARTGAAAATTCTCTCATCACTAATGTTCTCACGGRTCTTGATGCAGAATATTTACCGGTAGCTTGCCAAATCAATGGAAAAGAAAATATGACATGGCAAGAGATGCATGCCACGTTGCTAGCTTTTGAAAACACACTCATTCATCTGAATGTGGTAACCAACAACATTGATGTCACAAATGCATCAGCCAACTATGCCTCAAATAGGAGCTTTAATCAAGGAGGAAGGTCTCACTACCAAAATCAAAATCGCGGACAAGGAAGAAATCAAAGAGGAAACAACCGTGGCAGGGTTGGCAGAGGAGGACAGAACACATACCAAAGAGGAAACTCCAAACCAACCTGCCAAGTTTGTGGAAAATTTGGGCACTCTGCTGCAATTTGCTACCATAGACTTGATGAAAATTACATSGGCAGCACACCACARGCAAAMAACAAGGCTSCGGGAGCTTTTATGGCAACCCMAAATGTTGTGAATGACCAAAATTGGCTTATGGATAGTGGGGCAACCAACCACACTACAAATGATGTCACCTACCTTGGACAAAAAGATGAGTACAATGGTAATGAAATGYTGACAGTAGGTAATGGTTCTAAGTTACCAATTACTCATGTTGGATYTACTATTRTTAAATCAAAGTCTCAAAATAACTTGAGTTTAAACTTGAAAAATATGTTGCTGGTTCCACRCATYAAAAKAAATCTTCTAAGTATCTCTCAATTGACTGCAGACAATCATGTAATTGTTGTTTTTGACTCAAATTGTTGTTGTGTTAAGGACAAGCAATYCGGGAGAACCATACTGGAGGGGAGGCTTAGTGAAGGACTCTATCAGCTGGATCTTCCAAAGCCTAAAGCACATTTTTCTGCTTCAAATAAAGCTRTCAATTTTCGTCCAAGTCAGTTAAATTCTTRTCCAAATAATTTTGTCCTATTGAGTCCTAATGTCAATGCTGTCAAAAAATTCACATCTTTGAGCAATCTTTGGCATCAAAGATTAGGCCATTTGTCTGATAAAGTTTTGAATCTCGTGTCAAAGTCTTGTGATCCAAAATTTTCTTTCAATGAAAACAGAAATTTTTGTGATGCATGTCAATATGGCAAATCACATATACTACCCTACATATACTACCCTTCAATAAGTCAAAATCTCATACATTAACTCCACTTGAACTCATACATTGTGATCTTGGGGACCATCACCAACTCCATCCACCACAGGCTACAGATTTTACATTAGCTTCGTAGATGATTTCACTCGCCTAACTTCTATTTTTCCTCTTAAACAAAAATCTGATGCATTGATAGCTTTCAAACAATATCACAAATTGATAGAAAATAAGTTTGAAAGAAAGATCAAAAYCCTTCAAACTGATTGGRGAGGGGAGTTTCGAACCTTTGTTCCATATCTTAAAGAAATTGGAGTTGAATTTAGACATCCATGCCCTCACACCAGTCAACAAAATGGGATTGTTGAGAGAAAACATAGGCACATAGTGGAAATGGGTTTAACACTCCTTGCTCAAGCATCCATGCCCTTACGATATTGGTGGGACGCTTTCTATTCRGCYACCTACATCATAAATCGACTTCCCACTCCTATCCTAAATAACATCTCACVTTGGGAAAAAGCYTACAAAATTGCACCAGACTACAACTTCTTTAAAGTCTTTGGGTGTGCATGTTTTCCTTGCCTAAGACCATACSAAACTCACAAATTTCAATTTCACTCAACCAAATGTGTGTTCTTAGGTTATAGTGACATTCATAAAGGCTACAMATGTTTGAGTTCAAGTGSAAGATTGTATATTTCTAGGAGTGTTATCTTCAATGAGTCCGAGTTTCCCTTTCAAACTGGCTTCTTCAAAACAATCTCCCCAAATGAGAGCCCTTGTGAAACARYTATCACTTTGATGAATTYCCCAARTCATTTGATCAGTCCTCAAAATCCATCATCCACAAATCATACTTTACYTCCACAAATGAGTCAAACAAGTCACTCCAATCCAGTTGGTACAGTCACAAASTTAGCAACTCCTGCARAACAAAGTTCTCCCTCAAAGTCTGTAAGTCAACAAGAAAATTTGGTTGTTAATTCTACTGCCGCTACTAATGTTTGTGGAAATGGTATAGCTTGCTTTGATGTTGAAGATCTTGGACTATCAAGTTGTGRAAATGGTATAGCTTGCACTGATGTTGAAGCCATTGAACTATCAAATAACAACCCCATTGATGATCAAGTTCAAAATTCCCCATCAAAACCTATTAGCCAACATGAATCTGTCATTCAACCTCCCTCCCACCCAATGCAGACAAGGTCTAAAAGTRGCAYTTTTAAGCCAAAAATAAAAAATTATTTGGCTTCCTCCTCTAATGTCACTACATGCTCTGCATTTACCGAACCTTTATCGGTTAAAGATGCATTGAYAGTCAAAGAATGGAAACAAGCTATGCTTGATGAAATACAAGCCTTGCACCACAACTCGACATGRAATCTTGTTCCTCCTAACAAATCTCACAACTTGGTCGGATGCAAGTGGGTGTTTCGRTTGAAATACAATTCTGATGGGAGCATCCAACGTCACAAGGCAAGATTAGTTGCCAAAGGCTTTCACCAAACTCCTGGAATTGACTTTCAAGAAACGTTTAGTCCAGTGGTAAAGTCCTCTACTATCCGAATTATTCTCAGTATTG